TTTTTTAATTTCAGCGAGACCTCGACGGCAGAGTACCATATACATATATATATATATATATATATATATACACACACACACAAGCTATATCTCTATTAGTGATACAATATGAGTTGTGATTACTTAAAAAAAAAAAAAAATTCTAGTCATACATGTCAAACACCCGCTAAATTTGTCTTTTTAACGAGTAGAAAGATATTATATATATATGAGAGGTGTAGTATATTTGCAAAATAAAAATCTTTTAAGATATTTTTTCAATGTGAATGGAAACAAATAAATTATTAAATTAGAAGAAAGTACATACCCACCAATTTAAATTACTTTTGGTTTCGCTTGTAAAATCATAAGTCCAATTTAAAAAATATAAGTCTTTAGTTTATGTAAAAGTAAAAATTATTTTTTTATTTTTAATAAAAATAAGATCAAAAAGGTAAAAATGAATGCTAATAAGAAATAAATGTAAGAAGTGAATAATATTTTCAATGGTAATAAAGTTGATATTTTTTTAAATATGATATAATATTAAATTTATTATCAATAATTTTATATATTTATAAATTATTTAAATAATATTTATTCTAAAATAATGTATTTATATAGCCCGTGCCGGATTAATCGTGTTATAAGGAGGAACAATGAGTCTATTTAAAGTGACTCATTTTGTACTAGAAAAGCCCATGTATGAATAATGATTAATTTAACTTCATCACTTAGCGATTCTAGGTTGGGGAATAGGTCGTGAGAGAGAAATTATAGACATCTTTTCATACTTTAGACATAAAATACTTTACTTAATTTTCTCCACAGTTTTGGACTTTGGCAGTATTTATCATACACTTCTAAGACTCAAGACTCTTGAAAAATGTTTTTCATTTTTTGGTTATGTACATAAAGATAAAAATAAAATAACTACAATTTTTTGTGTTGACTTAATTTTGTTAGGTATAGGTGATTTTCTTTTAGTATTTAAAAGTCTTTATTTTGGAGGCATATATGATACTGACTTCCGCAAGAAGATGTACGAAAAATTATCAACTTAACTCCTAACCCAAGTGTTATATTTGGTTATTTACTAAAATTGCCCTTTGGGAGAGAATAATAGATTGTTAGTATGGACGATTTGGAAGATATAAGTGGAGAACATGTTTGATTAGGTTCTATTTGTATCTTTAGTAGAATCTGGCATATATTAACCAAACTTTTTGTGTTGGCTCGTCGTGCATTAGTACAGTCTTGGGAGGCTTGTTTGTCTTTATAACGCCTTGTTTTTTTTTTTGGCTTCAGCGATATTACCACAATTCTGTTAGCATACGTAACATATTATATATCATCCTACAAATAATTTCGGTCATACACATCGAAAATGTTCAAATCAAATCATTCAAAATTTTAAAGTTTCTCCATTGTATATCTATATTTACAGTAGCTTACAAATTCACAATTTTTTATTTCAATATGAGTTACTTGCTACTAGTTATGTAATTACTCTGTTTCACTAATCATACTCCCTGCTCTGTTTCCTCTATCCGCTAAGTTCAGAAGCACGCAGCTCGGGTCCAGTTTCTAGTACTACTTCATCTGTAAGTGATAGGTAATGAGTATACACAAACTCAGTGAAGTAAATTCAAATCATAAAAATTATGGGAATGTCCATTCTAAAAGAATAAATGGAAATTAAAGAAATAAACGAAAAATAAATAACTGAGTAATTCTAGACGACCTTCACTAACTTTTGAAGAGAGTCCTGATGGTGAACTATTCACAACTCATTTATTGATCGGGATATGGATATTGGTTCTATTGATCTGAAATAGTTAATGAAGAGGTGAGTTACACTAACTCAGTAAAAATATCACACTAATCACAGATACGGAAAATTGAATATTAGTAAAAATCAGAAAAATAACAATGGAACCCTTAAATGTAATGTAAATTTATTTATTATAAAAAAAACCATTTATTTCATCTTTGTGTAACAAGTCTTTCCCAACAATAACTTATGAAAACTCATATTCATGCACTATTATTTATCACATAGAAGATAACAAGAAATAATCATTTTATATTTTTACTCATTTACTGATACCCCTAAGGGTCCATAGGGATGTCCTCTTACTCGTGAACCCAATATCTAATTAAACAGTTAACCGGTCATCCCTCTATCCTGTCCGGTATGGGTGCCAAATATGCTACCACCTCGATTCTCCGTCAGATATGAGGGTGAACCATATCTTCCAAACTTTATTGGTAAGAGACTTCCCAACCTCGTTCGACTGAGGTAACGTTCACGGTAGAATTTTCTATGCACCGGGCCCGTCCGCCCTTTCGCGGGTACCCAGTAAGTCTTTCCTATAAAGATTTTCATCAAGATAACAATCAACCATGCAATAACCATATTTCATTTTATGCTCAACGTTCACTTAAACAACAATATAGTTTAAAACAGCCGAATAACCAATGATCAAAATACCAACATACAATACAAGGGAAACAAATAACAAAATAACCAAAAAGACCCTAAAAACCATCAATTGAGTTACGCACAGTATAATAGTAAATAAATATAGATAATACAAAAAAATAAACAAGAAATCAAAACGACTGTGAATTAACCTGTAATGACCCCAAAAATCCAAAAGGAAATATATAATAATTTAAGTGCGGAAGTGAAATAAAAGGTTAAGATTTACATCCCTTACACAATAACTTAAAAGTATTAAACAAACATCACGGAATGAATTCTCTGAAAGAAACACGAGAAATGAGAAAAGTAAATGAAAATATAAAGTATCTAGCATCTACTTACAGTCTTCTTGCGGATCGGACTCGGGAACCAGGTCCTCTTGATCTGAAATGGTTAAATAAGGAATGAGCTACATTAACCCAGTAAGGACATCACACTATGTCACCAACACAGAAGCAAAGGTTGGTAAAAAATAAAAAACAACCAATGGAGTACTAAATTTAGCAAATTTGTTTATCAATCGTAAAATTATTTACAGTTTACTTACCATTGTGGAATTTATGAAAATAACTTATAAAAACAATAATATCATACAGACTAATATTTCATGCATAATCAACCATCATGGTATATATTATAAATCCATATCCATTATCAATAAATCAAATCATAACCGTTTCTCATTTCACTAGCCTACTAGTATCCATGAGGGTTTATAGAGATATCCCCGCTACACGTGAACCCTTTTCCTTAGCAATCTCAATTACAGGGCCGTCCTCATACCCCGTCCGGTATGAGTGCCAAAGATATTAAACCTCAATACCCCGTCCAGTATGAGGGTGAAGTGGGTCGTCCCCATACACCATCCAGTATGAGCGCCAAATGACCAAGTCTTTATACCCCGTTCGGTATGAGACAACGTTTACGGTAGGGTTCCCTATGAACCGGTCCGTCCACCATTTTCCAGGATATCTAGTGAGGCTGTCATCTTATCTGTTTATTAGATCACACCCCTTTCCTATTTTTCCTTAGTCTCTGTTACCAAATCAAACATAATTACATAACACACAAACATGCATCCGGCAATGCAATCATATCTTAAATCTCAAAATCAAGCAGTGGTCAAGTAAGGCAGTAATACATGCATTTAAACCATAAAATATATAAATCAGATACTATCATGTTTTTAGACTGTAAAATAAATCAACAAAAATCAACAGAGAACAATGTTCGATTCGAGCTCCATTAGCAATCCGTAATTAATTATGCACATCTATTTAATTTGTATAAAAGACCGTATTATTATTTATTCAAACTTCAAATCTATGATAGGAAATAGGGTGAATAGTCCTTACTTGATTTAATGCCTAAAAGCTAAATTATTTACTACATCTACGGACAGTCCCTGGATTTTCTGAATTTTTTTTTGGGAACTAAAACGCACTTACGGTACCTACAAAT